TATATATTAGTAAACTTCCAGTCACCCGGCACCCATGGGGATCGGTCGATGCCGGATAACTGTTGTAGTTTCTGGTTGCTTTAAAGTGAAGAGTAACTCTCAAGCAACCCTACACCCCCCTGTGTCTGTATATGTATATATATACACACACACAAACTGTCATCTTTTGAACTGATTTAATCATTTAGACGCACACATTTTATGCACTGATTTGATAATAGACAAGTACAATATAAGACTGTTTGCAGGTTGGATGGTATGATGCAAGCATTAAGTTCATAGTGGTTAAACATTTCCCATGAGAAATATGAGGGCTGTGATTGCTGATCTTCTTTAACTTCAGTACTTTGTCAGTGACCCGGAACAAGCAAAGCATTTATTCCTCTTCTGGGTTAGTGACTGGGTTTAAACTTACCTGTGTCTTAATGTGACAATTCTCGGGTGGCCGCAAAGCATCATGGGGCAGGCGCATCCGCAGTTCACATTTTCGGCCGCGTGCAGACACCGTGGGACAGGAAGTGCCAGCAAAGACGGGAGTCGGCGCTGGATCGGAGACCAGCAGCAGTGCTGGAGGGACAGATGAAACGACAGGAAAGAAGATCGGATTAACCTCCATGGCGGTCTGATTTGTTGTTTCCCCCCCCCCCACCTTTTTTTTTTTTTTTTTTTTTTAACAGATACCGGCATCGGCCGGAGGACACAGCGGGTATCGTGGACAAGGTAAGTGTGGCGCTGTGTAATCCCGAGTGTGGCTTGGGGTTACCGCTTCTGGTAATGAAAATTAAGTGCTTTAATTAACATTGGGGGAGGGAAAAAAAATCTTTGACTTTAATGTCACTTTAACAAAGGCCTCCAGTTAAGTCGTCCTCGCTTATGCTTCCCTGGCTTCCATCTCCCGCTTCAGTGCCCGGGAGGGCCGGTCCTCCTGCGGGGACCTAGTCGGAGGGTTACAGTGGGTAAGGGCTCCAGGAGTTCTCTCCACGGCCGGACCGGATGACCACATAAGTCATTTCCGGTAAAACGTGACATTTCCGGGCCCCGAAACCTCGCGTTCCCGGCCTTGTTTTCGGCGCAGGGGAGTGGCCTTCCTGGTCTAGCAGCACGATTGCAGGCCCACTGTGAGAACGCTGGATGTGCAGTCGCTCCTAAGACATGGATCCTGTGACTTCTCTGCAGACTGAATCAGATCCTCCTGGCACCATTTTGGCTCAGGGAAGGGAATGTCACAGTTCTTCTTCCTGCAGCTTCCGACTGATTTTTTGCCCCACCTGGGGCTCCTTGGTGTTGGGCCTAGGGTGTGAGGGGCACTTCTGTTTTCTGTATTGGGGGGATAGGAGCTCATGTGTTTACTATTCTCCTTGCTGGTTTTATTTCTAGGTTAAGGCCCCAGATAAGACCAGAATTATCCTTAAGAAGAAATCTGCTGTTTGCTAATTGGAAGAAGCCATTATGTCAGAAATGTATTGATAGTAATGTGAGGCTGGATGTGAATGCTGCATGAGAGCAGTGTAATAGGTTAGAACTATATAAAAATGCAAGTTGTATATTGATCACCTGTAATTCCTGAATCATTGACATCTAAAAAGCTGATTTGTTTTCTTTTAGAGTGATATATGTTTTTGGGCCACCCGTGAAAGAACCCCCCACTGATGTGACCCCTACCTTTCTAACAACAGGAGTGCTTAGTACGTTAAGGCAAGCTGACTTCGAGGCGCATAATATTTTGAGAGAATCTGGTAAGTTACTACCATTGTGTAATTAGCTTTCTCTAGTGTTGTCAGCTTATCACTTTAATTTCTGTGCGTGGGTTCAGCGAACATGTTGTATAATTGCAGTGACTCACTTGTTATTTATTTAGAATCCCCTGGTAATTAGTGCTCAGCATTCTGCTTTGGCACATTGGTTTAATGCAGCGCAGCATATTGCTTTCTCAGTGTGGGGAAATGCATGTGGTGAAGGATGCTTGGTCATATGGAGCCTTTAAAGCACCTACCCTGACTATTCTGTGCTGCTGTGCCATTTTACTCTTTCATTGCAATGACAGTGGTGCATTACAGAAGTGCAGATATATGGGTTCAGTCCCTAAACAGTAGGAGCCACTGCTCGATTTATATCACTTGTATTAAAACCGAGCGGCGGCGGTGATCGAGATCACCATAGAGCAGACAAAGAATGGACGTTCTTCATCTGCTCTGTGTGATCACTGAGATGTGGCGCTGTAATGACAGCGCCACCTGTCTCAGCGGTCACTAACTGCAGCTTCTGTCACGGAAGCTGTGACAGAAGCTACGGTCTGTCGAGTGCTCCGTAAGGCGCACCGGACCTCCCTGGGTCCTATGGTCCGGTGCGTCTTATGGAGCGCAAAATACGGTAGCTTCTCTCTTCAGTCTGTTCAGTTAAGATTTGAAAATGAAAGGTAAATGCTGATTGGTCGCCATGCACAGCTGCTCCAGTTTTGATAAATTCCCCTCAATCTCTTTTTGTTATTTTTACTTACTAGGGCTGCTACTAACGTTTATTGTCATAATCAATTAGTTGGCCAATTCTTTTTTTCAATTTAATCGGAAAAAAAAAATAATATACCATCTTTTATATATTTTTTTTTTTTGCAGAATTGCTAAAACCATTGCTATTTTCATGCACACAGTCATTTTACATACACATGTAGATGTTTATTTTGTGCTGCTGCTACTGGGGCTTACTGGTGAGTTTTTTTTTTTTTTTTTAACCTAGGTTATGCGGGCAAAATAAGTCAGATGCCGATTATATTGACACCACTTCACTTTGATCGTGATCCTTTACAAAAACAGCCATCGTGTCAAAGATCTGTGGTCATCCGGACATTTATCACAAGTGATTTTATGACTGGCATTGCTGCTACACCAGGCAATGAAATCCCAGAAGAGGTATTTCTTTTTCTTTTATTCCACATTAATGTTTTGTTATACCGAAATTAATTCTTTAAACATGTTAGTAGTGTCTCATGTGAAAGTGCTGCAGATCAGTTATTGAGGGGGAAGGGGGAATAAGAATTACTTGGTGGAATCCTCACATTAACTACACTTAACCTAAATTTGCCATGCTCTACTAGGGTGACCATGCATTTGTAACGGATGCCAAATATTCCCACTGATAGTCACATTTATGGAACAATCAGAATGGCTTGGAATCAAAAGAACCTGCGCTATGGTAAAAAGCAAACAAGCTGCTGTGCTAAATTAGTGTTTTAAAAACACCCTGTAGTAATTCTAAAAACAAATTGCACTGCGCGAAAACCATAAATGTGAACCATTGTAAATTCCATATAAAATTGTTCAGATTATAAAAGATCAACTGTGTATATCCATATATTGGTCTGAACGGATTGGATTTTTGACACGGATGAATAGTTGGATAACAGGACACTATGTTCTTTTCACTAAGTGTGGACTAATATAGCCATCAATTGGCTTATCACAAGGGGGATAGATATAATGCATGTTTTATCATTTTATGTGCACTAATACCTAGATATACACTGTATATCTTTTATAATCTGCGCAGTTTTATATAGAATATGCAATTGTTCACATTTTTGGTTTTAGCGCATTGCAATTTGTTTTAATCAAAATGGCTTGTTTCCATACATATTTGCTTGGAAATGTCTTGCAGAGTTGTCTTTTTTTTGTTTTTGTTTTGTTTTTTAATCCACGTTTATTATTGTAGCTATCCACCTACATGGTATTACCTTTTGCAGTATTTGGGCAAATCGTTCCTTCATCCCTCCTTTGTGTCTGTTTCCTGGTTTGTGCAAGAAAGCTACTGAGGTGTGCTTGTGCCATCTGCTGGTAGATATTTAGTACTGCATTGTGGCTGCACTGCAAACCTACCACTGAACTCAGTCAGCACTGTTTAAATTTAGGTCATTGCACTAAATAAAGATGTTTGAGGGTAGTCGGGGTGAGTTGCACAGGCAATATTTTCTTCCATGCTAAAATATCCACTTATGCCAATTAACCACTTCCGGGCCGGCCGTAGTAAAAAAAACGGCCGTCCCGGAGCTCTCTAGATCTGAGCGGACGTCTTTCGCAATTTTAAAGCTTGACATGTTTGGTGTCTATTTACCCGAAGTGATCCTGACTTTTATATTTTATCAAAAAACTGGGTAATAATAAATGTTTCCTAACATAATGTAAAAAAAAAACTTTTTTTTTTTTCAAAATTTTCCTAATTATAATAAAAAATGAAACCCCCAGTGGTGATTAAATACCACTAAAAGAAACCAAACTCCGGTAAAACTACCAATCCCATGAGGCATTGCATGACACCCAGGATTCATGAATATGCTTTTTATTTGTAATGTATTCATATGCCTTTTTTAACTGCAGCTTGTATTGAAGATGGTGACGGAAATTAAGAAGATCCCAGGAATTTCTCGAGTAATGTATGATTTGACCTCTAAGCCACCAGGAACTACTGAGTGGGAGTAATAAAATGTGTTTTAATCTGGTGTAAAAGTACTGTGTGCAGCTTGACGTTTATCCGAAACCATTCCAAGTGTTGACATGCAGTACTGTTGTTCAGTTGACTGGAGCTGCTACTGTACATGACATCTGATTCCGTTTGCAGAGCCTGCACCTAAAGTAAACTTAAGTTGGGGCATACTTTTAATGGGGCAGAGGACTTGTACGGGTAACAATAACGGCAGCATTTGCCTGAGGGCAAACAACTCTTTCTGCTTTGCCTTTTGTCTTACGGAATCCGCCTGTTTTTCACGTGTTTCTGTTGTTGCATTTTTTTCTTCTTAAATTTCCTTCTTTTTTTTTTTGTTTTTCTTTTTGTTTTCTTTTGTAAAATGTAAAAAAGGCAGTTCATTTATATACATTTATCAAAATCATTGTAATAACCCAACAATGTAAAATGAATAACTGATGTGACCAACAGCTTTTGAACAGATTTATTATAAATAAATATTTTGCCAAATGGAGTTGCATATGTGTGCCAGTTGTTGGGGATTCATTCACATGGTAACTGAGTGTAAAACTGTTTTTACTTGTTCTTCCGCACAGCTCTCTGGTGTCCCTGTCTAAGGCTTATATCCTGTAACCCTTTACAGAAGGTGGGTTAATGCAAAGGACAAAAACGTATTACAGGCAGTCCCCGGGCTATGAACAAGATCGGTTCTGTAGGTTTGTTTTTAAGTTGAATTTGTATGCAAGTTGGAACAGGTACATTTTTTAAGTGCAACTCCAGACAAAAAAATGTTTTTGTTGTTGTTTTGGATAGCATAGGGAAGGGTGAACCCCCTGTAATGCTTGTTTTGCTGTGTGTGCCCCTGTTCAGAAGATTTCATCTCACTTTGTGTCCCTGTGACAATTGGATTTAGAAAATTTTGGGTTGTTTGTAGAAACAAGGATTGCTGATAAAGCTTCAGTGGAAACAACTTTTTCCCCTGATAACTCTTACAGGAGTGAATTTCCCTTCCTAGGGGTAGATTTCCTCTCCCTTCCTGTTGTCTCAAGGACAGGAAGTGAGATTACATTTTTCTAATGAGGATACAGACCGCAGTTAAAACCTGACCGTAACCCGGAAGAAGAGGCGGGTACCCTTTTGTCTGCACGGCTAACAAGAGCCAACTTCCTGTAATGTATGCACAGTACTACAAACCAGACGCAAAAAGGCGGGCACTCCTCGTCAGCACGAGCGCGGTAGCATTACAACTACCCCTGCTGTACAGTAATAGCCTCCCGTTTGTTAGTCGGATGTTTGTAACTCAGGGACTGCCTGTATGCACAGGAATGTGTAAGTCTAGTTTTACAATGAGACATTTGCTTGTCCACTAACCCCTTGGGACAGCAGTTAGCCCCTTTCTAACACAGTAGATGGCTTTGTAGCGCCATATAAATGGATAACCCCTTTCTTTTTCCGAATGGAGAATTGGAAGGATCAGGCGCCTGCTTCCACAGAAAGAAAACAAATGAGTGTGCATTTAACACTTCCAGCAGTCAAAAGTACTCTTGCCTTTAGGGGAAGCCATATCTCGCTTGTTTTTGGCCTGGTCATTATGGGTCATGCTTTATATGGGCTGCGTTTAGCTACCTTAATTAAAACACAGAGGTCTGTGCAATTAACGTACTGTACCAGTGTGAACGGGCCCTCAAAATACTGACAGACACACACAACCACAGACACATTCTCACACCCTCCCAAAAAAATTAAATTTTAAGATCCACCTTAACCTGAGGTCCAGTGTGGGCTGCTGTGCTGGAGCTCTATCCATATGTGCATTTCTGGTACAGCTCCCTTGTGTGCCCTGTAGAGGTGCCGGGAGCCAGAATGTGACATCACTCCGGTCCAGGTACCTCTACAGGACACATGAGGGAGCTGTAAGCAACATATTGGATGGAGCTCCCTCACGGCCATAGTCCCACCCCACCTCAAGCTGACACTCTGCACCAGGCAGCATATTTTGAATGGCTGCTTGGTGTGAGAACGGACAGTGCTGCGCTAGGGGAAGGCCGAGGAGCCTCTCGCCTAGAAAAGTGGAAGGCATGTAGTGACGCACTGAACACGCGGTTGTGACTTTTGGGTCAACCTTCATGTCTACATACATGTTAAATTAAACTAAAATGGCAAATGCACAAATCAGTCTATAACTAGCTTTTAAAGTAAGGTGCACATGGAAGGGGTTTACACAGTACAAACACAAACATTTCCCAGCACACTCACCAGCTAGCCTGCAAAAAATAACCGTTTTTACACAAATAGTGACAGTGCAATTTGGTTTTTGCAGGCTAGTTGGTGAGTGTGCTTGGAAGTTTTTGTTTGTACTGTGGAGTTAATATCATTGTTTTTTCATTGGCATATTGCTTTTATCACTGTTGCAATAAAAACGGTATTTTAATATCCGTATAATAATATATGTAATCAGTATTTGGTATATAAATTATGTATTTTAATTCACCTTTTTATTTAATTTTATTTATGCTGTTCTCCACATTTACATGCAGACTGCATTGTCCAGCAAAAATGAGTGATAGGTGTAGGGAAAAGGGGTTACTTTCTGTTCAAATGGTTTTAACCCCCTCGCATCCAGTGACGTACATAGTACGTCCCTGGCATCGGCCCGCTTAAACAGACTGTTTACATTTGTAGAGCCGGTGTCCAGCTTTACAATAAAAGCGATTCTGGCGACTTGGCTGTCGCCAGATCGCTTCTACGGGCCAATAAATTGCCCCCGCCGTGTTTCCCGGGCTCCGCTGCCCCTCCAGCAGGCCCGGGACTGGCATCTCGGGTGTCGGCGGGAAGTTGGGGGCGGAGGAGCGGCGAACGTCCGTTCACCAATCTCCTCCCCGTGCTATGGGACCGGGAGCAATGCAGATTACATCACTTGCGGTCCCATAGCTGTAATTTGCTGGGCCCCTGAAGCCGTGCAATAAGCTATTGATGTGTGAGATCAGCGCTTCAATAGCTTATTTAAAGTGAAAAGGTGAGACTAGGGCTCTTTTGGACCCTCAGTATCACCTTAAAAAGGACCTGTCACTGCCAATATGCGATCACATGGGGGACCTTTTTATATTTTATTTAAAAAAGGGTATTTTATTGTGTTTTGGGCCACTAAATTTAACTTAAGTTAATTTTTTACTACATTTTTGGTTTGATAAGTTGCGCTAATATTGTGCAAAATAAAAATTGGCAACTGCCACCATATTATTCTACAGGGTCTTGGCTTTCAGAAAATATATACTGTTTGGGGGTTTGAAGTAATTTTCAGGCCTAAAATGTGAATTATAACATGGGTGCAAAAAATGAAAAAAGGCCCCAGTCATTAAAGGGTTAATCTTTATTATTTAAATGGTCTCTAACTACTCAAGCCCTTGTGGCAGTTTTCTGTTTTGTCCTGGACCCTGTCACTTTTACTGGCCAGCTTTCTCTGTGTGCAGATGTGGAGAAGGATATAA